CACACACACACACACACACACACACACACACACACACACACACACACACACACACACACACACACGTGCAGTGTGTGCGCATTTAAAAATTATGGAGGTAACGTTTGGATGCAGTCACGGCTGCAGCTTCCAAGTTGGCCGGTTGAGGAGAAGCCCCTGCACATTGTTGCACAACCAAGCCATAAAGGATGCACGAAGTCAAGCTAAAAGACGCATAAGACTGCATGCCCCTTCCACAACACCGCCCTCAAGAATCATAATGCAAAAAAAATATTTTTCTCAGAATATAGTATATACCATCCTGATTGTCATTTATCCTTAAATGTAACATAGCTATTTATCCAAAGCGGTACGCAATACTGATATACTATGCATACATATTTTCAGACCCAGTGTGAACAGCAGGCCGAAAGGAAGGAAAGGACAAAAAATTAGGGGCTGTCACGGTCTATTTCGTCCGACTTCCACCCACCCATCAGGAGATCGAACCCTTCACATTGTCACAGAGAGCCCTCCGCTGAACGAAACGCAGAAAGGGAGACAAGGGCAAATGTGACAAACTGTTTCATTGGACTTTCGCCAACTCATGACAAGCCCGAACCGTCACATGTCTGCAGTCCCTAACCGATGATACTGTAAATGACAATCCACCTCAATTCCAGTCGCACACGGGAGGAACATACTAGCCCACAACTGATACCCTGAGGTCGGCGCCGAACCACTGACCTTAAACAAGCAGTACATAGCCCCACGCAACTTGAGAATCACAATTGAGGCTCTCCTAAAAATTCGGAGGCTCGGGGCAACCAGACCAGAATGGCTGGCGACGCCAGCCAAAACTGAAACAAACACACCACGCTGGCATTTCGTCCAGGTACCGATTTACGTAGGAAGAGGAAAAGGAGTAAAAAACGGGGGGATGTGACACTGTTCGCGAGAATTTGAGTGACTCAGGAGAAGGCTGTGCCCTCGATAACCTGCAGACAGTGCAGGGTCATCTAACTGATGATTCTGTCAGCATGTAACTGTGGGAACCCCACATTCACTACCAAAGGAAACCAAAGGGATACCCGCACCAGTAGGAACTGCAGCAGAGGAAACACCGGTCGAGGATACCACAAGTCTATCCCTAACAGACAGGAAGGAAGGGGCAACACAATGGCATCAAGGAGGAAGAAAGAAAGTAGATGATTGAGGGACTACCATACAGGAGTCGCACTAGTCTATCCCATACCAGTGGCAAGAGCTCACATAGCAGGTCCAGGCCCAGTCCAGTGTCGATGGAGGATGCCCGTGAGAAAGCATGTGGCGAGCAAGTGTTGTTGCCAAAGTTTGAAACCCCCATTGATTGCTACAGATTTTGTTAAATCAGGTCTGTCACCCTGTGAACACACCACCGGGTTGATGGGCAGGCATCAACCCGGTAGGCATTTTGTGGAAGTACTTCGGAGAATGAATGACGGGGAAGTCTCGGGCAGACGCTATTGTCAAAGACACTCGTAAAAAGTGAGCGCGCATGTACCGCCAAAAAGGTACAGCAGTCATTTGGTGCTGAGGTTTCCTTCCACTCAAGACCGTACTGCTCTGGAGGCAATAAGCGCACGCATATCGCTGCTGAGTGGCTCAGGATCATGCTGATAAAGGTCGTTGACACAACGCAGTTCATCCCAATCCCAATGCACTGTCAGATTGGCAATTTCTAAGCAAGAATCAGTTCCCATTGGTATGCCGACAATCTGGTTCTACAGGGTGTCGTTCTTCTGCAGTGTATACATAGGTGCTCTGAAGAACAAGTAAAGATGATGAAGGATCTGACAAACAGAGATGGTGCCTAGGCCTGAATCGGCTCTTCATTGGCCGCGACAAGGCTCTCAAATCTCCACACTCAGGGCATTCTGTCATGAATGCTCGTTAGTGTGTCGAAGGGCATAAGCATGAGCTTCATCAGCTTCTGTCATTTATTCAGAATACAGAGGTGAGGATGGTTGATGTACGTTGTAGTGAATCCGACAGTGTGCGGGGAGAGAGGTCATGGAGCAAGAGTGCGATGCGTTTTTCAGATCAAGTGCCACTTCATCAGCACTCCGAACAATCCAGCACCGCTGAAAGCCAGCCTGCTAATAGAGCCCAGTGACTTTCTCACAAAGAGTTAAGATCACTCCAACCCAAAAAAGCCTCGATGAGATAGGAAGAAGTGATCATTGTGCTAGCCAATGGTTTGTGAGTGGGCCATTCATGAATGGCACGAACTGTGGTACAAGGGCAAGCATCTCGGGAAGCAGAAAGATTGTTTTGCACTGTGACTCAAGAACACTGACAAGTGCAGAAGAATGTTTACGAGCTTTGAGAATGTCGTATAGGTAAGACTAAGCAGATTATAGACATGTTCATCTCATATTCCCACAAAGAAACATCCAGTGAACTGTAAATGGGAAGGAACAAACTGAAGAAAAAGGGGTTCTGACAGACTATCATGTCGGACATTAACCAACCGATAACCAGAGTCATCGGCGAGATGAACCCTCAGCAGTCTATAGAGCCTCCTACCTCTGACCCAAAATCAAAGCAGGGTATAACCCTCCCAAACATCCCACACGAGGCGCAAGACTTCACCAGCTTTCAGCTCCAACTGCCCTCAGCAGCCGGGAAAGTGAGCAAGCGGGGTTAAGGAGGTGGATTGTCACCAATAGTATCATCGTAGCAAAACCTTTTACAGCCGGCATTTCAAAACATTACTGTTTTTTTTTCAAAGGGTGATGGGCTTGAGATATCGTCACCAAACTGACCGACCCTCGGTAATTCAGCATTGTAGTATTTCACTCATCTGCTTCCAGTGCAGTTTGAACTCAGGAGCTGTATCTCACATTTCAAGGGTGCACTTCAAAACATTACTGTGAAACACTGGAGCACATAACAAAACCTTGAAGACATACCTTTCATAAGTTTTCAATGGATATTTCGATTTACATCTTCTTTGGTCTAATCTGAGCGGTAGAGTATGTACGTTAAGGCAACTGACCCTTTGATTATTTCGGTCTCAAAATTCTAGATCGGTACAGCAAACAAGGTGTGATAATCCACCTTCCATGCAACAGCCATGCATACGTTCAATCGATCGACTCTTCATTTGTCGACAAGTCTTAAGCATTGGAAGTCGGTACACACGTACTAGGGGTGAACGTAACATACGTTCACAAGTGCAAATCAAGGCCCTGGAAGTGGATAAAAAGTATTACACACCGACCCATTAATGGTGAAGTCTCTCTTGAATGCATTCATTCGCCGTGCCATATCCATTTCCTCCGGTGAGATATTCACCCATCGGAATCTCCCTGCCATCTCATCTGGCGATAACAATCTGTGCCGTCCAGACATTCTGCCTCCATTCCTGCCAAACAGACTCATTCTTTGTCTGTTGTCCATGGGGACATTCCCTCTCCTGATCTCTCCGGAAGTTTCCTCAAAACTGGAGACCTTTATCCCGAGCGAGCCCATGGTGGAGACAAAATGCGCACCATATTGAAAACAACACAGCATCGCAAACAACTTTCAAAGTAAGTTATTATTATAAGTTTATAACATAATAATTTAAATTCTAAAGTTTAAACAGGGAGAAAAACACAGGCCAATGACAGAAAAGTCGCATTCAAGTTTGTAAACCCCAAGACTACTGTAAGTCGCCAGATTCATGAACCCGTGATATGTTTGTGCTTGGGAATCATGAACCCGGTCGTGGAAAGTTGCCAGGTTCATGCTAGGCCAGCGCAAATGGGCCAGCGAGCCACAAATAACATAACACAGGCAAATAAGAGTCAGAAATAGCAAAAAAGAAAAAGAAAAAACTGAAAAGACCTAGTACAGCAAGTCACTCATGTTCAGAAACAAGCCAAAAAAAGGGGAAAACAAGAGTTGGCATGCATGTCCCCACTCCAGTTTGCAAAACCTGAAAATAGCTAAGTCCGAACATACCTAGATATTGGGCCTTCCTATGTCTGTTTTTTTGGGGTTATGGCCATGCACTTTGAAGCTGGTTCCAATACTTTTATAAGGGATGGCGGACCCGGTTCCCAGCACGTGCTGCTCCCAACGAATAGAATGGAGCATTGTTAAAAAAAAAAAAAAAAAAAAAAAAAAAAAAAAACATACCTAGACCTCTACAACATCATAAAGCACGGCTTTTGTTCTTCCCAACGGACCACGGATCAAATATGAAACTGACCAGAAAAGAAACTACACTTGATCTTAGAAAACGCCGTGAACAGAAATCCATCATGTCCTTCGGGACATCCGTTAAAATTGGAACGATACAGAGTAGATTAGCATGGCCCCTGCGCAAGGATGACACACATTAAAAATAATAACAATAATAATAACTAGTAGAAGCTTTTTAAAGCTTGTGATATCAAGAATTGCTATCTGTGCAAGCATCTTACGATTCAATAATACTTTGTGACTTTTTAATATAAAAAAAAATAACAATCCATCACATGTTCAGAAAGAAGCAACAGAAAAACTGAGAAGAAAAGACAAATGGGAAAGGAATGTTCCACTCTAGCTGACAACACCGTCGCCGCGCTGTCGTTTCGGCAAAGCTTGGCACGCATGGGGAATCCACCTCCGGAAAACAAGGATCGGGTATGATGAGGGTTTAAACTTTAAACCATAGTTGTGGCGCACCTCAGTGTGCAGGTTTGCGCACGCATTCCGCACCGTGCACCGCACCGCACCCCAAAAATTAGGGTCAAAAAAAAAAAAAAGGTAGGGGTTTCGTAACCTCCTTCGCCCCCCCCCTTCTCCGGGCAAAACGTTCACCTCGCCGCGCGAGTTCGGAAACCGGCTGCGCCCTTGGCCCAAAACAAAACAATTTCGGCAAGGGCTACTGAATTTCGAATTCCGCAGGTCTGTCCCCAAACATTTTTGAAATCGCGGATCATGAAAATTCAAAATAGAGCTCATTCCAGTTTTCTTCCTTAGGCGGGGTGTGGTAACCGGCCTTCCACCTCCCTTCTGCAAATCCCACACAGTGGTGGACGAATTTGCGAGAAGGGTGTGATTCCCCAATAGCATCCTGCCCACACTGTCTCACAGAAGTCACAAAGTATGTTTGGTGATGCCAGCCGACAACCAATATATGCTGAAGATTGGCATTCAGATCTGCATGTCGGCAGTTATGGGTTAGGATGAAGATGCCTGTAGCTCTCTCGTTTTTTTTCTTTTCGTTTTCTTGTGAAAACGTACAGTTGCCCAACGGGCCTCTCTCCACTACTCACCACATCCATAAATGACATAGCATATGACAGTGCATGGTTCCATGTTTTAGCAGAAGATTCATTCTAATGTTATACATTTGGTGAGCGGTGGAGCTAGGCCCTGAGAATCACGTGGAGACACAAACAGGGTCTAGCTAAATTGGTGACCCATAACTGCCTAGCTAAAGACCTGAACTCGAACCCACAGCATATATTGTTGGTCTGCGCCCACCTCTTCCATATATGGCGCGGCCATCCTGCTTGTTGAAGCAACGGTCCTCAATGCCTCCACAAATGTCCAAGCGTATTGTCAGAGCCATTGAGTTACCTGCAGGAGCCCCTGAATTAACGTAAAGGGGGCCATTTGGTCTCTCTCTCTCTCTCTCTCTCTCTCTCTCTCTCTCTCTCTCTCTCTCTCTCTCTCTCTCTCTCTCTCTCTCTCTCTCTCTNAGGGAAAGAAAGATAATCCAATTATCACAAAGCAAATAACACATCCCACAGATCAACGTATCTTTTTTCTCTTTTTTCTTTTTTGTTTTTTTTCTCTTTTTCTACATATATATATCATCACATGAATATGAGAGCGCAAAAACGAAAAAAAGAAGAAAAAAGAATGAATTCGTTTTTTTATATCTTCTTCCTTACAACTCCCCCTGTTCAGAACCTCTTGCGTACAAGGCCGCCCACGTGGATCAGAGCATATCCTCGTGACAGAGTGATCCCGGCACTGGGAGTCTGCGTTTCAATTTTAACGTCCCAATTTTCTCCGTACCGTCCCAATTTTAACGGATTTCCCTATGCGTCTATGTCCTTAAATACATATATCATGACATACATGGACATACATATATATACAGGCACACAGGGGGGCACAAGACCAAAACGAGGGGCTGTGACAGCCTTTTTCGTCGGAGATTCACCGACTCATCAGAAGGATATATATACGTAGTAAATCGGCAATGTTTATTTATGTTTTTTAATTTGTTTTTCCCTTTCCCCATCCCGGACTACGGGGGCCAAATAAAAATCCCTCCCCCCCCCCCCCCCCCCCTAAGAAAGGCAACGTCTCCAACACGTGGAATACAGAACCTGAAAACGCCCCCCCCAAAAAAAAAAAAAATTGGCCCAAAAGAAAACCAAAAAAGAGCAGCAATGAGCACAATCCGAAAGATCTGCAAGGAGTGATGACGATACCGGGGACAGAAAGACAGGGAGGGGGGAGGGGGGGGGGGGGGGGGGTGAGGAGAGGAAGAAAGAAAAGAGAGGACACAACGAACGGAGAAGGGAAGAGGTAAAGAGAACTGAGGGCGAAGAGAGGAAGCACATCGCCACGAAGGGATGGAACATAACTACCCACCACTGCGACTGTTGGCCAAAGAGAGGGAGAAAGGGAGAGAGGAAGAGAGGGAGAGAGGGAGAGAGGGAGAGAGGGAGAGAGGGAGAGAGGGAGACGGCGAGCAGCCTGGAGACAACTAACAGTAGAAGAGAGTCGGGATCCGTAGAGAAGATACGAGCGAAGGAGGGAGGGGAAGGATAATGATACGAAAAGGGAGGAAGGGAGGGAGGGAGGGAAGAAGGGAGGGAGGGAGGGAGGGAGGAAGGAAGGGACGAAGGGAGGAAGGGAGGAAGGGAGGAAGGGAGGGAGGGAGGTGGGGAGGAAGGGAGAAAGAACAAACGAAGGATGGCATTAGAAAATGCGGCAAGCTGACGAACGAGGCAAGGAGAGGCAGAGAAAACGCAGCGAGAGAGAGAAGAAGAGAGAGAGAGAAGAGAGAGAGAAGGGGAGAGAGAGAAAGGTCTGAGCAGAGGAAAGAGGATTAACTGAGAGATTTACCCGCAGCTGCTGCATGCGCTTGAGCAAGAGTAGGAAAATTACGGTCCCGCGCAGCTGATGATGGTGTTGTCGGGGATGTGAGATAGTGCGTGCGGTAAACAATGAACGGCTCCGATTGCAAGTCCATGACGTGGCGGTCCGCTACGCGTTGGATTGCTGCAAACAACAAATAAACCCACAGAGGAAACAAGGCCCCCATAAGTACAACAACAACCCATGAAAATATGAAGCAGCCCGCAAATCATGTCCATTCTCTCTCTCTCTCTCTCTCTCTCTCTCTCTCTCTCTCTCTCTCTCTCTCTCTCTCTCTCTCTCTCTCTCTCTCTGTGTGTGTGTGTGTCTGTGGCACGAATAAATGTTTGTTTGTTTGTTTGTTTTGCGCACTTTGCGCACCGCTCGCAGCACATGCACTGCTCACAGCGCACAGTCCGCACTCTGTAATTCCAGCGCACAGCGCACTGCTCACCGGCCCGTACCGCACTGTGCGCTGGTGCGCGGCAACTATGGTTTAAACAAAACCTGGGGGACAAAAAAAACAAACAAACAAAACAAACAAAAAGGAAACAATCCTCCTCCTATTCTGGACAACTCTGACGCTTCTCAAACAAAGATTCTGTTCACAGGTTTCTCACTCTGCAGAAATCTCTGGCGTTTCTCAAACGCAGATTCTGTCAAGCCTGACAGTTGCGCACAAATGCCTCTGACTGAGTCTGACATGCTTCTCTGATCCTTTTGAGCAAAACGCTGCTGTCAGACTTGAGGGTTGCCGAGGAATGGCTCAGACATGCCGCTGTCTCAAAATGCATCTGTCTTTTTTATCGCTTCAGTCACACAAGGGAAGATAACGTCCGTACTCGGTTAGGAAATCTCTCTGCTATCAGAGGGGAAGACAATGTCCATAGACTCCGTATTACTCATTTCAGAAAATCCGTCTGACATTGTCATTCCTTCCCTGCAAAAGTTTTGAAACGAGTACGTAGTACGGACACCATTTACGGAAAAAACTCAGCCAGGCGTCCCCTTTTTTACGCAAACCCACAGCCTACAACAAAATCCCCAGATCCCTTTGACAGATTTACATTTTTTTTTTCTTTTCTAAAGTTCTAAACCCAAAAGTCGCGGCACGGCATCCACCGTCAGCTCACTTGGGCTTCAATCCTAGCCACAGCTACACACAAAAGCGCACACAAATACAAAAAGTTAAAAACAAACAAAGATGATAAAAGCAAACACACAAAGAAGTCTCACAGCTGCATACTATGACAAACAATGCAACCAAACTTTGTTTTGGTGACCAGATGGGTTATTTGCTGATTCGATTCATAAATTTCATATGGAGAAGAGATTCATATGGACAAATTTTACGGAATTTTTACCTCAATTATTTGGCCCATCATATGGACATGCACGATAGGAAATCGCCTCCCGACAATGTAACACTTAGGGAAGAGATGCTTCACCTGAACAACATCCAGCCACCAAAACAGAACAACAGCACACATGCATGGAATGCAATAACCTGTTAAAAATAACAAAAAATAAAAAAATAAAAAACAGCAAATATGCAATTAAGTTGAATTAAACCACCAGTACACTGTTGAAAAATCATTCCACCTCCGGCGCGCACAAAGGCCCTGAATGGGTTTGGTACACGTTCGGTACAGACTCCGTAAAGGATCATGGTGGCACCCGGGGAAGGGCATTACCCAACTCGTTGTCGGTAAGCAGATGTTCACCAGGGCCCAGTATATGCATATGCATAATTTGTTGGATCCACAAAGGAAATTTTCAAAAAGTGGTCCCGGCGGGACCACGGAGTCCCCAAAGTGAGGCAGTTGTTTGGCAGACCATTGGGGCGGTTGGTGATCGGACATGACCGAAGGCTGCCCGCTGTAGATGGATGCTGGACATGCCTTCTGCCAACTGTTTTCCCTGCATTCCGCCGAGAAAAAAAAAATCCAAAACAATAGCATGCTGTGTGGCGGTGGTGTCGACTGTCTGCTCGCCATCAGTCATAAGCCGTCAGCAGGGTCTGTTCGGAGGTCAGATTCCAGCCCACGAAAGATCCAGGGTTCTGCGAGAGACAGAGCTGCTATCATCCTCCTTCACGTCCTCTCTGCCGCCCTCCTCCTGCTCATACCCTCCATCTCGAGACGGTTAACGGAGGACTAAAACTTCGCCATTCTTTTTTCGCCACGTCGCCACAAGCAACATAATGAAAAACTTTGGAAACAAACAATATGGGCTTATAATACAACATCAAAAAATCAAACAGGCAGTGGAAAAAGAACATAAAAACACAACACTAAAACCCTAACGCAAAAACACTTTCCTAGTTAAAATAACCATTCAATGATTTCAACAAAGTAGACACTCAACGCTAAGATGTGCCGTCTTAGTCCAAACATGTGAAAACTGAATACACAATGCTTCACATGCTTGTTCAGTTATTTGGAAACTATTTCTTATCCTCCTCCTCGCTCTGCAATCATATCACTGTTCGCGACGTCCATGTCTGGCATTTCTTTGTAAAGGTTGCAGTGCTCCACTGTTTGTGGGTTGCAAATTTCACGAATCAGCTGCTTTTTATTTTTCTCTTTCTTTTTGTCTCCTTCTACAGCGACGGTAGGCAGTGGCTGCTCTAGCAATGCAACTGCGCGGCATAAAAAAGGAGGCCTCCCACATGCATCCAAAAGCCACCCGGTTGGTCAGGCGCCAAGCGGCCCACCATGCGCTGGTCATTTGGATTGACTGCCTGGCTTTGGAAGCCACAGCTGTACCAAAAACCTTGTTGGGACAACTGCAGGAACGAAATCGCCAAAATAAAAACAAAATAACGTAATAAAAACCCATCACTCGGCTAATCTTCAGGTGGACAGCACACAGCACCAAGCGGTCCACCATGTGCTGGTCATTCGAATCGGCTGCCCAGCTTCAGAATCCACAGCTGTTCTAAACTTGTTGGGCTCAGCTAACAAGACAGGCCATGTGTTGAGTCAACCAGTCAGAAGAAACTCCAAACACCAGCAGTAAACTGGCAAGCCAGCCCGTCAGCCAAGGAAGCCGGGAAAGCAAATGACCAGTCTGTGAGTGAGCCAACATGTGCCCCACTTGAACCACGAGTACACGACCCCAGCCTTGCAGTCCGAAACTTGTCACCACAAGAAAACGAGGCCAAAACGTAAACGCTGGCCCCACCGTTGATAAATTCAATCGGCGGCCTGGTTTTCATTTCGCGCCTCCAGAATTTGAGGTGTCAGACCCACGGCCACCAGGTGCCCATGTGCTGGTGGTTAAAAACCGGTGAACCTGTAATTTAACTAGCTAGGTAATTTAACAAGCCATCTTCTTAACCAGCCCTGTTAAGTGATCATTCAGCTAACCCGAAAGTTAATTGTCAGTTAAGCACTCAGTTTAAGTGCACAAAGAGGTTGATTTAGGCCAGTTACGTTCAGCAGCCACTCAAGCGATGTCCACCCAACCAGTCTGTTTGACCAGTAAGTCGACAGCAATATTTATCAACCAGGCACTTAACCAGCCCTGTAAAGTGACGATTCACCTAACCAGTAAGTTAATTGTGTCAGTTTTAACTTTTCACCACTCAGGTTCACAGGGAGGTTAATTTAGGCCTGTTAGTGTCAGCAGCCACTCAAGCTCTGCCCATCCGACCAGTCTGTAAAGTGACCACTCAGCTAATCAGTAAGACTACTGTCAGTTAACCACTCAGGTACAGAGGAGGGTTAATTTAGGCCGGTTAGAGTCAGCAGCCACTCAAGCTCTGCCCATCCAACCAGTCTGTAAAGTGACCACTCAGCTAATCAGTAAGTTAATCGTCAGTTAACCACTCAGGTACAGAGGCGGGTTCATTTAGGCTAGCAAACTACTAACATAAACTTACTGGTCAAGCAGCCTGGTTGGGTGGGCATTACTTAAAATGGCTGCTGAACCTAACTAGTTCAAATCTACTTAGGCCCACTCTGCTCTGCTGGCGAGCCGCGCTCGCAAGAGCGTTTTCTTTTCTTTTATTTGATTTTCTTTCCTTCGGCCTCTCATCTCACGGCGAGCGCACCACAAAGTGGACTGATGGCGGCAAGGCCCAGACTGACCTCCTTGTGCACTTAACTGGGTGGCTTACTGACAATTAACTTACTGGCTAGAAGAATGGTCACTTTACCTAAGTGACTGGTTAAGTGACTGGTTAAGAAACTGGATTGTTAAGTTACCTGACTAGATCAATTACAGGTTAACCTAACTGATTGAAACTACGCAACTGGTTATCGGTGATGCGCACGACGTCAACTGCAAGGTCATGTTAAAACATTTGAGTTCAGTGGCCACTCAAGTTATAACCAGCTAAACAGACTATTGCGTACGCAACAATTGATATCGACTTCAAAGAGCAACAATCCCAGGATGAACAAAGCGCATGTAGACCCATATTAAACCCTCGAAACCCGAACTGTCAGTGGTGACATCCGCTGACTGGCCACTTATTTCCTTCTAGAGTTACATCGCTAATCCTTGGTTATAACAAGACCACCTAATTGCAAACCACGTAAGACCGAAGACCTTCCTTAACCTAAACCTTTGATTCTCGCTTCAACTGACTTAATTCCTAATGGAATAGCAGCACGCGCTACATTCTTAGCAGTAGCTTGAGCAGCATAACTGGTTGACCGACGAGATCCTTTAAATCCCACTGAACCAGAAGAGGACCAAGATTTGGTATCTCCAAAAGAATCTGTTATATGGTAATTACTACTTAGTAATTACAGTGTTACTTAAGAATCTGTTATATGGTAATTACTACTTAGTAATTACAGTGTTACTTAATATCCATTGCAAAAATCCCGAACTAGATCAATTGCAAGCGCGCCGGCTTGCCAGCAGAGCAGAGTCGGCCTGGGCGACGCGGACGTGCGAGTCGAAGGCGCATCCAATAGCAGTCAGCCTGGCCGACCCTAACGCTTACCAGCCACGTCAATGTGGAACAGCCTAGAGCCCAGCCAATTCAAATTGAAAAAAAAAAAAGAAGAAAAAGCCCACCCCATTCGACTGCTTTGCTCGGTCGGCTCAACGACTTCATTCAGCTCATTGGCATGTTTTCAGCCCAGTGTGGTGATGCCACAGCTCCGCACGCTGGGCGAACACAACATACCTACTCATTGCCGATAACCCCATCCACTCACACAAGAGACTGTTCTGAAGTGTGGTCCATGTTTTATTCTTCCGTTTCCCTCCCTTCCCTATGAACCAAAAACAGGAGGCTACAGTCTCTTTCACTGCAAGTTGGGATCCCAACACCTTGACTCGGCCATTGGGGAGTGACAAAGAAGCAGTAGCGTTCGTTATGGGAAGAAAAGGGGGAGAAGGTTGGGGGCGGAGGCCAGATGGAGGAAGTAAAAGAGGACTATGTGGTGAGCGAGTCTTGAGCCTTCGGAAATGTTCCACTGGATACTCAAATGCACACTTTCAATGGATATCTTGAGCCTCCAGAAATATTCCACTGGATGCTCAAACGCACACTTTCAACGGCTCGCAAACTCACCCCAAAAAAAAAAAAAGGGGGGGGGGGGAGACGAGAGAGAGAGAGAGAGAGAAAGAGAGCGAGAGAGAATCCTGCAAAAGGAACCTCCTAAAGCCACCTGGACTATCATTGGCAACCACCTAATAAGAACCTGGTGGAAATGGTGGCCAGGTGAATTGAGGCTTTCACAAATTAAAGCCCAGCACGGCCTGCACCAGAAAGCCAACAGTGCGCCCCCATTCAGACCATGTTTAATTTTTTTTTCGCATTTTCCGATTCATGTTCCACCTGTGTTTGGGTTTTTCCCATTCGGGCATCCTTTGATCTATTTTTACTGGATAGGGTCATGAAGTATGATTGATTCATTCATTAGATTGTGGCCGGCATCTGAGAGAGAAAGATTTCCAGAAAAGTCATGGCACGATATGGACCACAAGTTTACTCATAATTTGTTTTGCTGAATCGTTTTCTTCTTCGAAGATGGACAGTTTGCGGCATTTCTATAGAGACGGAAAGGCTTCGGACACACTCACACCAGGACTTTTTCAACTGAACTACTCTGGACCAAACTCCCGTCAGATGCATCCAGGACTGGCTGCAATCACGCTGTCATATCCACCCACGGAAGTCCTGCCGTGCTTTCCCCGAACACAACATGCTTCTTGTATACACATTCATGACGAGGGTGCACTGTATTCGGTGGAGGGCAGTAGCGCGAGCATGCCCTCAAACTTCAAATTATCGACTCGTCAATTGATAAGATATGTCTGAAGTATCCCCCGCCGGACAGTCCTGCGGAATGTACCTGCCTGTGGCCGTATGGTACACACCTGACAATTGATTAAACTTGTCAAAGGTTCAAATCCAGATAGATGCTCACGAAACACAAAGAAAAAAGGGTGAGAAGCTAACGCACAATATGTCCCAACAGGTCCCGAAATCTCCAAAAACACTAACATCTGAACCCCCCAGAGAGATACCACACACAAAACACACACACAAAACACACACACAAAACAAGAAAAAGGGGGAAAAAAACACTAACATCTACAGCTACGCCTCATTTGCCTAAGATTCAGGCTAGACTGCAGTGCTGTTCATGAGAGGAAAGCATGAACCTGGCCACTATTACGGCCAGCTTTCCAAGCATGAAACATAGCAGCAGTGAGGCTTGCCTCTAAGACATCAAAAACAGCACTCTTCCAGATCAAATGCCCGCCGTACATCCTAAGCGCAGGTTGTCGCTCGCGCCCGTCTCCACCCAACAGGATTCATCACCATGCTGACTGTACTGAGTACAAACTACTGGCCAAATGCAGCAATAATGTCGTGCCCCGGTTATATAATGCCTTATCCGTGGTAAAAAGCCTCTGCAGTAATTCCATTACATGATTATTACGTAACTGAAAAGGACTTGAGCTCTAAATCCTGTGGGCCGAAAGCTCCGCATGCACGTAGTCCAGCCCCTAAAGAGGTACAACTGCTGCCAGCTCCAAGCAATGGGCTTCCATGGGCTCTATTTAGTGGTCCCCACATGTTCCATTTAAGGGGTTCTCGAGGGTTCCATTTAGTGGGAGGTCTGATGGGTTCTATTTATGACGTTCTCACGAGTTCGATTCGAGGGTTTAAATGGGTTCCATTTGGGGGTTGCCATGGATTCCCATTTTGGGGTTACCATGGGTGCCACTTACGGGTGTCATTTATGGGTTGCAAATGGTTCGATGACTTTACATCCTTTACGTCCTCCACCCGATCTAACAGCGATGAATTTTCTGATGTGTACCCTTTGAAACAGCAGCTGCTTTGTCGTGTTACGATTCCATAGTGTTTTGTTTTGTTTTTTTTCCCCTCTTTTTTGCATCTGAACTTGGGTCTGTATTTCAACAGTTCATGGGTGTATCGACTGGGCCCATGGCAGCCCTTAAATGGAAAGCATTCATAGAAGTATACGAAACACAAACTGGGCTCATGTTCCGCATACTTCTATGAACGCTTTCCATTTCAGGGCTGCCATGGGGTTCCATTTAGGGGCTGCCATGGGTGCCATTTATGGGTTGCCAGTGGCTCCATTTAAGGGGCTGCCATGGGTGCCATTTATGGGTTCCCTTGGGTTCTGTTCAGGCTCGCCATGCGGACTGCATTTTATTATAGCTTCCAATCACAAGATCTTCCATTATCAGTCCCCTGTTGTGTTACATTTTTGGCTCCCTTTACATTTGAGGGGTTCCATTAGGGGTTACACTTCTGTTTAGCATTTCAGGGGTCCACTGGGGATTCCATTAGGGGTTCCACTTGGGGCTCTACTTTGGGATTTTTCTGGGTCCACTGTGAGCACTGCCGTCTTCCCCCGAACATAACGCATATGCATTGTAAATGAAGACAACGCACAGGTTGCTTTCTATGCATTCTATTCGAACAGCCCTGCTTTTCGAATACAACACACGTGTTCTATTCGAATTTTCCAATTTTTCAAAAACTCGAATACAACGCGTATGCGTTATGTTCGAGGGGAAGACGGTAGTTTCATTCAGGGGTTTCCATGATTTAGCTCGTACCAACGGTTTTCATTTACAGAAAAGTTGAACCAGTCCCTACTACAATCAGTCCAGCAATCCACGGCATGGGGTTTCCATTCACAGAAAGTCGGACGAGTTCCAACTGCAACTGACCATTCCGATGCCCCTTTCCTACGGTGAACGCTCACACTCGCACACACACACACACACACAAACACACGTCATCCTTTGCATCCAGTAGATAAAGTTTACCAACATATTAGAATAATATAAAGTTATGAGGGCGACTCAAGGGTCAAAAAAGCAAGGATCTTTCATTCAATATATAAACAAGGATCTGCGAAGAGGCAGCAAAAACCCCCAAAATGAAAACCTTTCCTTCTATAGTACATTTGTCATTATGACCGATGATCAAATGAATTGATTATATTTCTGTTATCAGGAAAAAAGAACTGTTGTGTTAAACAAAAAGATGACACGGAAAAAAAAAAAGGATGATGCATGAGGGAATCGAAGAGAATGAGACTGAGCAATCTAAGGTAGGAAATACAGGGGCATAGGGGTAGGGAGATGGAAAGAGACAGAGAGAGAGAGAGAGTGTGTGTGTGAGAGAGAGAGAGAGTGATCACATACAAGTGACCTCCACAGCACGCCATCACAAAAAGGAAAAATAAGTTGCCCCACAGCATGGCAAAACTATTTTTCAACGTCACTGAATCAAACAAAAGAGCAACTAAAGAGCATGTGCATGTTCTGGGCATCAAGACACCGGTTCGAGTCTGGCGGGCGCAATCAATGATATATATAAACTTATAAAGATCAGAACGACTGTTTTCGATATCACGACACGCGTGCGATTCTGGCGGATGCAATCTTGCCTGGCGCTGCCAGTCGTTTCCATCTGATAGGCCAAATTCGCAGTAGGCCCAATGGGTCACACGGGAATGGACTGGAGGTTCAGTCCATCAGTCCTGACCAGTTTGAAACGACAGGCCTATCGGGGTCACAGCGACTTCTTCTTCTTCTTCTTCTTCTAATTCCTCTTCTAGTCCTAATTCTCATTCTAATCCTCCTCCTCCTCCCTCCTCTTGCGGCAATGCTTGCTAGTGTTCCCCCCCTCATGTTTCAAGACTTGCTATTGTTCTCCCCCTCTTCATCCCGGCGATGCGTCTACATTTCACAAGGATTATTGCTCATCCGCATTTTGGGTGCAACTCTTCAAACAGTTGAATGGGCAACAGAACATATAACAGTGTGGCCAATGAGAACTCCCCCCCTTAGCACATAAATGAAAAAGGGGGTATGTAACGACCCGCCAAAACACAGACTGAGAACACCGCTGATTTCTGGGATTTGCCGCTGGACTGTATGCCTCGCTGAGATTCACGCATTCTTCTGCGTTTTTTAAGTCTGTGTGTGGGTGTGCCTGCTGGTCTGCATGCCTGTCTAAGTGCTTGCCGGCCTGAGTGTGTGTGACCCCCAAGGGTACTTGTTCGTTTGGAGGCCCCACAGGGCCGGTACTTACCTGTGGCCATGAGGGTTTTCTAAGTCTGTGTGTGGGTGTGCCTGCTGGTCTGCATGCCTGTCTAGGTGTTTGCCGGCCTGAGTGCGTGTGTGACCCGTAAGGGTACTTGTTCGTTTGGAGGCCCCGCAGGGCCGGTACTTACCTGTGGCCATGACTTTAAGGGTTGCAGCGGGAAGAACACTCAAGTAGCAAGGGTAGGCCTGCAACACTTAGAGCAGCGGGAAAAACACTCAAGTAGCAGGTAGGCCGGTACCACTCACGTCACGGTAGTGGTAGAAGTGTCGGGTACTCGAGGCCGCGCAGAAGAAGACAAAAAGTTGGCATTTTTAGAGGCCCAGTAGCGGTAGGCTAGAGGTAGGCCGGTACCAGTCCGAGTAGCCTGAGTCTAGGACCTGTACGCACGATATCAGAGCCTGCAATGATGTTTCCCTCCGAAAGGGAGGAGGTACCGGTTGCAAGAGGCAAGTAGGCTGCTATATCTTCCGGAGGAGCAAGTAGCTCCTCCTTACTTGCGGTGTGCAAGGATTGGCGACATACTGAATGAGCGGGCAACCAGGACTCAGAGCGCTGCCTGGAGGAAGGAGAGCAGCTGGGCGCTCAGCCTGGCTATGGCGAGCAGCCCAGCCTGAGGAGGAGGAAGAAGAGGGCGGAGGAGGAGAGTGGCAAGGTACCTACCTGGCTATGGTGGACACCATCTTCATCAGCTTGATGGGCCGTGCATCTGGAAGGCCCCAGTTGGGGTAGTGCTGCAACAAGGAAGCTCGAGGCAGAGTCAGGCATGGCGGCCTGATGAGCAGCAACATAGCTGCTTTGTGTTGTCCTTTGCACAGGAGGGCAGAGCCCTTAGAAGTCCGCCATAGCCTTGACATGTGAGAGGAAAAGAGGGGCAGAGTCATGGCTATGGTGGACCTGTTGTTGTGCTGGCAGAAAGAGGGAACTTCGGATATTGATTCTGGATTCAACCACTCAGTTTTAAGGAAGGTGGAGAGAGAGGGGGACTTGTCATTGGTCTTGCTGGTGTACATCTTCTTCTTCTTCTTCTTCTTCTTCTTCTTCTTGCTGGTGTACTTCTTCTTCTTCTTCTTCTTCTTCTTCTTCTTCTTGCTGGTGTACATCTTCTTCTTCTTCTTCTTCTTTCTATCCTCTTCTTTGGTCTCTATCTCTTTGCAAGTGCTTTCATTTCTTTCGCAATTGGGTGGCATTGCCTTTCCTTGTGAATGTGCATTTCGGAAATGACGAGGACCGTAACAGGTAGCTATTAATGTTATCCTATAATAATATAATAACAAGCTAATAATATAATAACAAGCTGACTCCATCATGATTTGAACTAGTGACCGGTTTCTCACAAATTACATGTATGTACCATTCAGCCACAATGCCCTCGGGAAAATCTTCCCCTTTTAACCCATCCCCCAAAAGTACCCCATCCCCCAAAAGACACACTTGCACAGACAATCAGCAATACAGGCACAACAAGATTCAAGCTCTCACCTCTCTGAGACTTGCTGTTGACAACACATCAAAATCTTTCGGAACCCTCCGAAGGAATAAATCCCTCACGCTCCCGCCGACAAGGTAACACTCAAAACCTGTTTTTTCACCGAAAGAGTAGAGTGCAACAATTAATGAAATCATACGTAAAGAAAATTTTCCTCCCCTAGAAAGATTTGGGCCGTTTTTCTATTTATGTGCATCGCCCCTACCCAAGGGCCCCAGTAATCTTTATGTACAACGTTCCAGTTTTTACGCATATCCCAAAGCACACCGGTCAAAAACAATACTACAGAAGGGAAAAACGAGAGAGCCTTTCGATGAACAAAAGGAGGATACAAAGTGCTGTCATCCATATGGCGAATCTGCAAGGTACACCACTGGCATAGTCCAATTACAGAGGACAAGACGAAGAACAACAAAAAACAAGACTGTACTCAAGCTGTCCCTCTCTCTCTCTCTCTCTCTCACACACACACACACACACACGCACACACACACACACAGAGGTGCATGCACACAAATATGCAGAGCGGGATAGGCACATCTCTCTCTCTCTCTCTCTCTCTCTCTCTCTCTCTCTC